CTTCTGGTGGAATCACAAGCATTTGCCTCGTGTGGCTGTGATCGAAGCCGTGCCCGGTGCAACCAGCCAGTAACTCACCTTGCTCCTTGGTGAAGTCCTGTTCTGTCATGGTACTGGGCATTAACAGCTCTCCCACAGCAGGCTGGATGGACACATTGAACTGGTCCTCCTTGGTGCTGGGGGAGGAAAACAACAATAAAAGAAGAGTTTACAAGATATCCAACATAAAAAGTTAAGCAGGAATCTTGTAAATTAGGACTGAAAATAAACCTTGGTCCCTTCTGTAATTCAAATGACGATGACTTTGTGGTAATGTGTGTGTGTTTTGTGTATTAAATGTTTCTCTTCTGATTGCCTTGCAAACCACGCTCTGTGAATGGCATTTTGGGCCAGATTGATTCCCCCGTCCTGAACAGATTTTCTGATAAGGTTATTGATCGGCTGAGCAGCGGTGCCAATGGCGTTCAGCAGGTTGATTTGGGCCGGGGCTGATTACTGGAGGAATAATTGTTATCCCAGTGAACCCGGATCAATTGCGGCTGATGTCTCACCTGGGAGTGCCGGCACAGAGCGGGTAGGAAGAGGAGAATTAACAAAGTACAAATGAGAGGGAAAAGGCAAGAGAAGATGCAAATGAACTTAAGAAAAAGAGACACTTGAGGGAGATGTGATGACGAATCTGGAGACACAGAATGAGAGCAGGAGGAGAAAAAGAGATGTACAACTGAAGGTCCTAGAGGGAAAAAAATAAGGCTGACTTGATATGAGTGGGTGTCAGGTTGTCTTACCACAACTGGAAGTTGGCTGCTTGTGTCGAGTCGCTGAAGTCAATACCCATGGAAACCGTCACAGAGGCTCTGGCTCCAGCGCTCTTGAGAACGGGAAAGAGGGGAAGGCAACAAGACAGCAGGACCAAAGGAGACGTGAGTGCACAGGGCACAGTGTGCCAGCATGGGGAACCTCGCGCAAGCAAGCGGAGAGCAGGAGGAAGAGGAGGGGAGGGGGGGGCTGGCAGCAGCAGTGGACGACCGGCATCCCACACCACTTGTGTTTCTAAAAACTCACACAAGCAAGCCACCCGTGTGTGAGAATCTACTCCTTCATCTCATTCCAACCCCTTAGCTCACGGACACACCACACACAACAAAAAAAGACACATGAAGGACTAGCAGTCATTTCCAAAACAAACAGGCTTGTCAAAGAGAGCATCAGCATCGAGAGAGACGGGGTTGAGGAAAAAAAGAGCCGGGCAAAATGCGAGCTCGAGAGAAGAAGATAAATAGCCAAAAAATGCTGAAAAGAGTTCGGACAGCCTGCAACTCCGGCGCATGCGGAGAGGACGGACCGGGCAGGAGGAAGGCGCGAGGAGGCCAGGGCCCACGAGGCACGGGGTCGGAGAGGGGGGTGGAGGAGGGGGGAGGTTAAGGATGAGAAGAACACAGACAGACAGAAACATCCTCCACGCTTCCCCAGTTGGCCTGTGTTTCTCTCTCCGTGGAGCAGGGCTATTTTACTGTATAACTCTTTCCACAGATAGAGAAGAGACTCCAGAGGAAACCCTCTGAAAACAGAGCCATCATGGACTCACTTCCAATCCAGCCTTCACAGCTTGTCTAACGGGCATTTTCTGCTTTTACCTTTATGTTTTTCTCTTACAGGCTCCACAGTCTTCTGTGTTAACCATAGGATAAACTATTTAGAATACCATCGCAAACTGCTTATTTTAATCAATAGATTATAGCAATATCCATCCCGGTGTGAGGGGCAAAGGTTTTCTATTCCAACTACAAAGTAGCATATATTCTTCTTTTGGTATGTAATATCTGTTTTTGCAAATTGCAAGTAGCAACTCAGTGTTAATATGTGTAGTTAAGGAAATGTGTAATTTAACGTAAATACCCATCCACTTTGTGACACATGTTAACAACACAAAATCAACATGTCTTCTACATTACTGTAGTTCTTTTATAATGTTGTAAAACTGCTATTTTAAAAGCAATTATTCAGCATTTTGGGTAATATGCCTATTTACATTGTTGCCAAGAGTACGCTGAATATGAACCTTCAGCCAGCAGACAGTTCGCTTAGCTCAGCTTAGCTAAAAGACTAGAAACAAGTGGAGACAGCTAGATGTAATTTTTGATGCAACAGAAATTATAAAGAAAGGTGTAAAAACAACAAGTTGTTGTTTTGCGCAGGATTATCTGCTATTCTTGTCTTTGGAGAGACTCCAGGAAGTGACTGGTTCAGCTCATAACTTGTCATTGTTGAATTAAACTACAAAGACCTAACATGTTAATTAGCTTGAGAGGTGTTGTTTATATTACCTTTAGGTAGAGCCAGGCTA